TCTATGGTGGATTGCTGTGCTCTCCAATTGGACATCGACTCTTTTTCATTCAACAGATCGAGGACAACTGCAATTTTCGAGTACATGATGTTTTCTTCAAATGTTAACCGGGTGTCATCAATCAAGAATGTGGGTGTAATTCTTGACAGCAAGCTGACATTTCCCAATCACATAGCAGCAAGAACCGCCAAAGCCTACGCGATACTTGGATGTATCAAACGCAACACGCAACAGTTCGAGGATGTCTATTGCCTTATATCATTATATGGTTCTCTGGTGCGAAGCATACTGGAATATGGCATTCTAATATGGGCAGTTTATCATGTCACGCTTTGCTTTCGCATTGAAAAGATTCAGCGAACTTTGTTAGAAACACTCTACGACTGTTACCCTGGAATATCCCGGTTGTTCTCCCCCATACGAGAATCGCTGTGTTTTGATTAACGTTTACACATTGGCGGATAGGAGGATACTTCTGCAACGGCTGTTCATATTTGACATTCTGAACAACAATCTTGATTGTGCTGAACTTCTTTTTTTTTTCTTTGGTTTGTTTTTTTTCGTCGATCTTGTTTTCCGTGCTGAGTACCAATGCTACCGACGTGCCAGGAAGGCGTAGTTATGCTGAACTTCTTGGCAAACTTAATTTCAATGCTCCGGTTAGACAGACACGCCAGAATGATCTTCTCCGTATTCCTCAACATCGTACACTTTACGGGCAAAATAATCCACTTGATGTTTGTTGCCAGCGATTTAACGAGTATCGTGACAACTACGATTTAAATGTATCTAAAAACGTTTTTAAAAATAGGATTAGCTCTAGATTAAGGAATAAAGCTGTCTGTGCGTTTTTATACGAAGACGAGTAAATAATAAATAATAAATAAATAATCACAAAAAAGCACCGTTCGGCGAGACCGGATGCAGTTAGATTTTGAAATCTGTGCTAGGGAAAGCGCTTTTTGCAGGTAATCGATGATAAGTTCGATCTCCATTGCAACAGTTCGACATTTGTGTAATTTTCAATAGTGACCTATTGAAAATTGATAAAGTGTTCATTTTAAATTCGTATAAACATTTCCAATCGATTGGCTTGTTTAGAATAAAAATCCATCGGCTATTGACAGAGTTACCAGTGGTCAAAACCTGACCACTTTTCGTAACGCGGTCGTTTTTGGTTTTCTGAAATTTCACCCCCCATATTTTGCCGAAAGACGACATCGTACGTCAAAAATATGATGATGCCATGACAATGATCAACAAGCTAGTTGTTGTTATGACTACTTTGGCAGCATTTCAAAAAAGATATACCAGAGTATGCATGAGTATGTACCAGACAACAACACCAACTTCATCACAACAACAACAGGCTTGTTACACATTAGAGTGATACAAAATTTGAAATTTTCGCTCCACAATACTTAAACAATTCCAAATTGGATCCTGACTAACCTCTCATAATTTGAACCCATTTGGTGAGAAACTGAGATGGCACAAACCATTTGAAGTTTGTATGGGAATTACTATGGTAAAACCAAGATTTTTGTTCGTGTCTATCTAATAATTCACCATATCGGTCTGCTTCAAAAGCTTTCAAATTTGCTTGTAGGAAATTTTCTCAGCTACAACTTTGCTCAAGACCACTTTTTGATTAAATGCAAGGATCGAAAGTTATCAATGGTTCAATGCGCTGATGTCTTATGATCATGCTCAATCAACTGCTCAGCAGGCAACATTGGTGTTTCTGGGGCGTTGAATAGGACACAAAAATCATGGCTACTATGTCACACTGCAAAATACAGTGTTGCCTACAGAGCAGCTGCTTGATCATGTCATAAGTTTACCAATCTCTTAAATAATTAATAACTTTTTCCTGTCTCGATTTACATAGAAACAATCTTCAGCAAAGTTGTAGCTAAGAAAATTTTCTATAAGAATGGCTTTCGAACTGTTTCGCAGCTCAATATGGAAAAAGACTAGAAGGCAATTAACAAAAAGTTGAGATTTCCCATAGTAATTTACATGCAAACTTCAAATGGCTTGTGCGAAGTCTGTTTCTAACCAAATGAGTTGTAACTTTGGGAGGCTAATCAGGACCCGATTTGAAACCATTTAAGCACTGTGGAGCGAAAAAGTCAAATTTTGCATCTGTCTATTACACATTGTCATGATAACCATAACGTTTGAACAACCAGGCCCAAAGTTAGAGTGAAGTAAGTGCAATTCAATAATTTTCCATCTCCAAATAAACTTCAAACCATTTACGCGACCTCAAAACCTCTATCAATATTTATAATTTGTTTGCATATTTGGAGGTTATGAATCAAACTGAAGGATGACTTATTAGAAATCAAACACTTTTTTCAAAATGAAGCACTCTAATGCATATAGCGGCTTAACGCCAAATGATGAATTGAAGAACTTGATCTTTTCCGATTTGCATTAATCTTTGTATCATTGTTTTTTATGGGCAATGATTCACATTTTTGCTAAAATACAGCCATTTTAAATCTCATAAAATTTTAAAAACGGCGTCATTTTGTGTTCATAAAATGGTTGCACGGATCGAAATGACGTTTGAGACAAAGTTGTAGAGAAAATAAATTTTGTTGTTGTAATTTTTTTTAAATGCTTGTTGGTTCACCCAATGAATTCTGGAGTTTACTGATTTTATAAAAGATTGTTAAAACTTCGATAAGATTTCCTCTTAAAGATCTCTAAAGCTTCTTCAAAGAGCTTTTAGTCTTATCTGATCTTCTCTAAAGTTCCTTGAGGTTCCCTTTAACATCTTACCCAAAGTCTATCTGAGGCTCCCCTTAACTTCTCTGAAGTTTTGATAAACTTCTCTGAGGTTCGTTGGACTTCTGTTTTTCTAAAACTTCTCTTAAACATCTCGGAAGTTCCCGATGTATTTATGATGTTCTCTCAACTTCTCAGAGAACTTCTGATTCTGGTCTATATATATGAGCAGGGAGACGAAAATAAGAAGCTATGAAGTTTAGAGAACTTTTGAGTGATTCGGGGAACTAAATATAGCTTCAACAAAATCAAATGAACTTAAATCTGCTGCAGAAAGGATCTTAAATCTTTAGAGATATTCATAAGACGTCAAAGACATCCAAAGAGCTTTGGAAGAGTCCAGTGAGCTTTGGACGAGTACAATACACATTAAGTCATGTTCAGTGAACTCCTGACAAAGAAGTGGAAGTTATGAGTAGTTCTAGAGCAGTAGCACTAGACATAGCATGATGGGATTCGGCCCAAGTCAGAAACTAGTCAAAATCATCCATCGAGAGTTGTACGAGATATTGCGATTTTGAGATTTTTAGTTTTTTAGCTTTCAGCCATCAGCTGGTTTACCTTGGGCAAAGATTTTATGTGATTTTCTCCTGATACTTCGATTATAAGTTTATTTAAGTTGCACTAACATATTAAGATAAATATCCATATCTTTTTTGAATAAACTTTTTTTTAAATAGTCTTTACAGAAATTAATGTCGAACAACTTTGTGGAGCACTGTAAGCCAATAATACCACTTAGTAAAAATGTAATTCCCAAGTAACACAAATTCATATAATTATGTTGAGTAAACTCATATAACACCAAAACCATTCATACAAAGGTTATATAAACTGTTATAGAACATGTGTGTTGCTGGGGTTATGTCGGCTCATTTTTAAGACACATTACTGTAATAGCCCTTAAAATCAAAAGTTGTTATTTTGTTCAGGCTTGCTTCCACTCACTTGCTATAAAAACATTATTTTCTGAATTTTGAAATCATTAGATGTTAAAATCATATTTTGTACTCGTTAGATACAAGAAGAGGTTGAAATGCAAGTGTTTGACACATGAAACCTGTTAAATTCGCTTTCAGATAGCCACAATCAGTAATTTTACGACTCGCGAGCGCTTACTCTGAGTGAACGCTCACGAATCATAAAATCGCTTATTGTAACACTCTGGTAGCAAAATTTACAGGTTTTATGAGTCAAACACTTGACTTTCATCCTCTTTTTGTATCTAACATACACAAAATATCGTTATAACATCTAATGATTTCAAAATCCAGAAAATCATTTTTTTATAGCAAGTGAATGGAAGCAACCCTGATTTTGTTTTGTCCTAAGTGAGGAGTGTGTTTCTCCCTATTACCTTGCTAACTAAGGAACTTAGGCATTTTCTTTTTGTGTATGTTTGGTGAAAAGTGTACCTAATGCATTGCTTGTAACATAACATGTGCATCACCCCTAACAGGGCCTATTTATTTTTGTTGAAGTATATTTATCGATCTATTTAGCAGTTTCAAAGCCCATTGAGGTTTATTATACCTCGTTAACACTACAACCTATGCCACGTGATGCAGAGTATCTTGATATCAAACGATGTACATATTTTTTTATATATATTACAAAATAAGGAAATACCTTTCCAAACGTATTCTTTTTGAAATTGTGCCATACTATCGGTGAATGAAAGATATTATTAAACGTATCTGCTTAAGAAGAGCATAGTTTGAAAGACATGTAACAAATCGTCGCTGTAGATAGAATCATATTTTTCCATCTTTCTGCATATGCATTCATCCCCCAGAGCTAAATTGTGTTTACTTTTAACCAGATACAACGTTATCAAACACCCTTATCACATACATAACATATCACAAAAACACAAACGATATCTTGGGACGTACCGCTGTAACTATGTAAAGTTTTCTCCCTCTCAAAATATAATGAGAAGAGCATCGCGCAACTAGGTCATTTCCCTCGCTCAAAACAGCGTGCTTCAATACATCCCAATGCCGTTTTCCCAGCCCCTTACCGACCGTGCACTGAAAAATCATACGAAAACATACAGAACAATACTCTCGCTCTTTACAACATTCCCAGTTCCCTCTCGCAGTTTTTCTCTCGTGCACACATCCGTGTGTTACTTTGATCTTGTCCATCATGCATGCCCCGTGGTGCGGCAGAGTAGTAGAAAAGTGGAAAACTCACAGCACTCTCATTCAGTCACCGCCAACTATTCGTCAGCTACGGAAGCCTCCCCGAAAAGCAAGTGGGGTCACAAATCGGAAGACAGATCCTTCCGTGATTAGACCGCCTCCGAAAACTGAACATTTGTGTGTGAGTGTATTCGCTATTGCATTACAAACTAACCCCATTACTCCCCCTACTCTCGCCCAGCTCTGTTCACAGTTGCTTGGGAACAGTCTTTTTTGTGGTTTACTAGATTTTCATAACATTCTCGACGCCAGAAAGCGACCCAGAAGCGTGCGTTTTTCATTCACTGACTTTTCCTTCGCCTACTATGCGGTGGGAAAGTTATGTGAGCAAAACGAAAAACCACACGCATACACTCGCAGCTCTTCAGTTCTGGCCTGGGTTTCAGAATGAGGTTATTCTTTTCATGTTGCTACTGCTGCTGCTTGGATGCTGTGAAGAGAAATTTTCATCCTCGCCCTTTGTCAGCACTGATACGGATGTCAGTGCTGGATGGATTACGCGATTCGCGTTTCTCCATTGCCTCAGCATGGTTGTTTAGTGTGTAAATGTCAATTTTCCATCGGCTTAGTGTAAATTTCTGTTCAGTGTAGGAACAGTTTCATCTCGCAAGACAGTTTATCGTGAAGTGACCATCCTCTAGTGAAGTGAAGGAAAACAAACGCACTGACATAGGTCATTGAACAAAGAGTTGAACTTAGGCAAATCGAACAATCAAGTGACATCCACAGTGAAAATTTTATAGATCATTGATCGAAATGCAGCAGTGAGTGTTTTTAATTGTTCCCATTCTTGTGTCATAAAGGGAAGAGGAAAAATCGCAGCAAGCGCAGCAGTAATTGAGTTTGCACGCATGAAGGGTAACAACACCAAACGAAACGCGTGCGAGAGCAAGACAGAAATCAAACCATGGAGTGAGAACTTTTGTTTTTCTTGGATAACGAAAGTCAATTCTTTCGCTTCTTCTTTTTATGCGATTGAATGTGGATCTCGGAACATGAAGATGTCAAAAAGTTTGGTGATTTATCAATCAGTAGTACAATGGATGATCGATGGGAAAGTCTACACTATGTCTGGGTAAACAAGAGCGAAAAGAGAAATGCCAGACCTGTCTTTCTGGACCACAGTTTAAATGTTCATTTTTTAATCCTACTAAGCCAGTTGCTTGCTGATAAAATTGTTTTACTGCTCGGATAAGCGAAGCCATAATAATGTTATTTAATTTATGGCTAACGACAGCTCGAGTCATTTCAACAGAATAGCAATAAAGTTGCTAAGCATTAGTCATTATGAACTTGTAACTAGGCTAACATCATAAAGATTACAATGCTACTAATACTACCAAGTATTATAACGGTATTAAGCTTTCGAAAACTAATCTGTGAGACCCGAATCAACCTCGTCAACAAGGAAATAAGATTATCATGAAATGATTAACCTGTACATTTCTTGAGAAAACATGTGACATCATTTACTCTAGTAATTCCTGTTTTACGCAGTGAATTTGGTTTACAATCGACTGCTAGATTAAACATATTGAAGGGTGGCCGTACCGACTAGCCAAAATGGTCACGTTTTAGGTAGTATTATCAAATTTAAAAGAAATATTTCTTATCTTTGATACTTCAGGGTATTATCGTAGATTAAACTTTTTTACCAGAAATGACCATATAAAGCTCTTAAAATAAATCATTCAAATAACTTTTTTTTTTAATTTGTGTTTCTCACCGGCTCTCATACTTAAACCTAAACATTGTTCAATGTGTACCTGGTATTATACAATCTATCTGTGTGGACTTATAATCCACAGCAACTGATAACAAAGTTGTATACTTAAACGAAATCATCGATGACTATCTTGAATAATCAAATAAATTAATATTAACGTTTAAAACAACTTTAAGATCATTTAAAGCAATTTAAAATATACTAATTGATATCAATTTAAAATATACTATTTGATATTATTGATTGTACCTGAAACTTTTTGTATTATATTCTCATATTGTTGACTGACGGTACCAACAAAACTCTACGTTTAAAATTACTTTAAAATGTTCTTTACTTATAATATAATTGTGCTAAACATAAATCACACTCTTCAAGCTGATCACCATGGTACGGACAAAGACATTTCTGGTTTTCTCACACCAAATTTTCCCTCATCTTCAATGGAACCTATCTTTGACAACATGTTTGCTTCAACCATCAGCTCGTGCTTGCTACTCATAATGCTATCGTCGTTAGCGAATACCACCATCGATAGCTCAGAATGATAAATGATAACAATATTCGCTAAATACGCCCCAACCGATGCGATCGGTTCTCCAGCACATGATGATGGAAGAAAACGGAATAAAATTCTTGAATCCAGCGCACACTGTGTTCTTCGTTCCACCACCACCACCAGCACCTTCCATCCAAGTAGGTAGATAGCCGTCGTCGGATGCCAAGACGACACCACTCTCCACAGTGAAAAGGGCAATGATTTTAATGGCCCTTTGTTGTTCGATTTCGTCGGAAAGCGGTGGTGGTGGTGAACATCAAGGGTTGCTGAGATGACACTTTTTCCGACAAAGATGGAAGAGAGGATTTTTTTTCTCAGCTATCATTTATCAAAGGATATTCTTTTGTCCTCGAGGATGGCAATGAACAGATCGAATTTCTCGGAAGGTCAAATTTAAATATCGATTGGGGCACAGTTCTCTCAATGAGGTTGTTTGCCTCCAACGAACCTTTTTATTATCTCCACGCGAACCGCAAGTCCAATATCATCCAGACGGATAATAAACATCCAAACACTTATCTCGGTGCAATATTTCGTTTCACGAAGTTTTGTCAACTGGTTCAAACTGGTTTAATCTGTATCGTGATCGTGTAAACCCCCTTCCATAAAGTCGTAATCTGTGTCAAATGAACTTGCCTCAAGCAAATCGGTATTTTAACGTATTTTGCCAGGTTCTAATTGAATGGCCACGTTATGTTATGTTGTTATCTCCCAAGAAATTTACTGCCGGCTAAACGAAGCATCTCACTCCAGCACCTGTTTGCTCACGCAAAGTGTTACGCGGTGCGCTTTCGTTAGTAGGCTCATTTGTCAGGAAACCACGCCAGTAAGCACATCAACAAACTAGTCGCTAATGCAAGTCATGTGTGATAAGCAGGTAAAGAGTGTGAGCAAATCTCATTCATAGGAGCAGTGTAGTTGGACAATGTCGGTGACAGCCACGCGACGAGAAGTTAGTTTGAACAACAAACTGAACCGCAGCAACCCGTTGCCATTGTATATTGACAGTCGTGCGCAAAGTGCTAATCGCAGCCATCTGCGATTTGAAAACCTACAAGTGTTACTTAGCGAGAAGAATCAGTGAAGCTAGTCAGACTAAATCGTACACGAGATTTTGGGTAGGGTTTTTGAAACAATAAGTGATACAAATCCTGCCAACACCATGTGGTCACCGGAAGCGGAAATCAACTCAATTGCCTTTACTACAATGCGGCACTCGGTGTCTGCATCGTCCGGTATGTATTAAACTCGCAGCTTTGGAATAAATAATAGACCGCGGATACACTTTGAATTACCATCTATGAGCATGAGCATTATTTGTGCAATAAATTATGAGCACATCCATGGTCAGACTTGTATAGGTTTCCCGAGTAGCACTGTAATAAGTCGTATATAAGTTTCTACAATTGATTTGTGACAAGCGTGCTACAAGGGTTTTGGCTTTGCTCATAATTTATTATACAAATAATGGTCATGTTCATAGATTGTCATACAAGTGTATCCGCAGCATTACTTTTGCACCTTCAGTTATACCTCGATACAACACAACTGTCACTTTTCAGTGATTTCTCGTAAGCAAAGCAACAACTCAAGAATATAAATCAACATTACTAATAGATAGATAATTGTCCGATGGAATTGTTACTCTGCGTGATTGAATGTCCGTTTGCGAGAAATTGGCGGTAGAGATAAAAAGTGACAGTTACGTTATTTCGAGGTAAACCTGAACAAAATAATCTTAACAGCCCTCGATCTAAGTGAAATCGTACGAATATTTTCTCTAATGCCAAGACACGTAATGTTTTACTTATTAGCTCACTACAGCTCGTTCATCAATTCATTCTCTTTACCTTTCTTACAGCGAAAGGTATACATATCACTTGGAAAAAGTACTTTCGATCCGCATACCATTCGACTCAGCTCGACGAGATCAGAAAATGTCTGCATGTGTGTATGTGTGTATGTGTGTGTATGTGTGTATGTGTGTATGTGTGTATGTGTGTATGTGTGTGTGTTAAACAATTTTGGGCAACGTGTTTCTCAGCAACCACGGGACCGAATTGGACGCAACAACCGCTAAATGAAAGGTATTGTGGTCCCACAGAAAGCTATTGATTATTTTTGGAATCGGCCAACTTGTTCCGGAGATATGTTCCGGTTAATACGGGTCGTGAGTTTAGAATCGTGTTAAACCCATCATGTGACATCTCAAATCACTTGAGAATTCATAACGAAGACAGTCCTTTCTGGACATGTTCCGGGTACCCCAAACGAAGTGGTCCGTTTCTAACTTGTGTCAAAACCCATTATGCGACACCGAAAATCACTTTAGAATTCAAAACCACATACAATGGTGGTTATATCAAGTGCCTAGGATCACATTGGACATAGTGACATTTGTTGCAAAAATCAGCCATGCTTTTAATTCATTTAGCGAACAATTTTTATGACCAATAGTAACAATTCTAGAGGGGACTACATTGATCCTCGGGGGCCATGAAGCTCCCCTTTAGTTACGCCAATGATTTAACCATCACATAAAATCTTCCCTCGTATAATTTTAGCTAAATTATCCAAAAACAAATTAATTGTTTGCAAGCTTGCATATAAAATAGCGTAAACGCGCTCAAATTTAAGTGAAATTTCGAATAAATGTACGCCAAATCTTGTGTTAATTACGTGTAGCAGCAAAAAACACGGAAGTTTCTTTGGGCTTAATGAAACATGAAAGATGGGATTCATAGTGGAATGCCGAACTTTTGGTTGCATGTTTTGCACTGATTCAAAAATTGAAATATTTCTTCCACAGTGCTCAAATGGCTTCAAATCAGGTCCTAAATAGCCTCTAAACTTTGAACTCATTTGACAAGAAACTGACTTGGCACAAACCATTTGAAATTAGCATGGCTATTACTGTGGGAAAACCAATTTTATGTTCATATCTATTTAAAAATTCATCATATAGCTCTACTTTAAAAAATGTTACCTGTGCTTATAGAACACTTTTTCAGCTACAATCTTGCTCAAGATCACTTTTCGATTAAATGTAAGGAACAAAAGTTATTAATGATTCCAGTCGCTGGTGTATTATGATTATGCTCAATCAGCTGCTCTGTAGGCAACATTGTGTGATTCTGATACGTGGAATAGAGCAAAAAAAAACATGGCTACTATGTCACACTACACAATACAGTGTTGCCTACAAAACAGCTGCTTGATCATGCCATAAGATTATCAATCACTTAAATAACTAATAATATTTAATTTGACGTTTGGTTGAAAAATCGTATTCCTGAAAGATTTCCTTTAAGAAAAGCTATAGAAATTTTCATCAGGGCCATATGGAAAAAATGCTAGAAACTTCAACGTGGTTTGAAGCAGAGATGGACCGCTCTTTTGGGGCTTTTTCATAAATTTATAATACAGAATGCTTGCGTTAAACCCAATTGAATATTCAGTAAACCCATCATAAAATTGATAGTTTAGTACTATTACCACACTCTTTGTTTTCCCTCAAGGTACACTTGAAAGCATTCTCGAGTGCACCTTCAGTGAAAACACAGAGTATGGCCAGTGCGTAACCCAACAAACAATTTGAGTTGATCAACAGCTGAATAAGCAATTTTGACGTAGGACTACGTCTTTGATTTCTATATGGGGATACACTTTGTGAAAACCGAAAAAGGAACATGTAACAAATTAAGAAAGATTTTGAACGTTAATAACTCAGCTGCCCCTGGTCCAATTTCAATAATTTTATCACCTATCGATCAGAAATATGGCTACGCATTGATAACAATGCTTCCGAATGTTGATTTTCAACAAGAAACTATTGAAAAACGTGTAAATGTTCAGCATTGTCCAAAAGCGTCGAATTAACTAACAAATCCACCAATTACCTACATGCATATGCTGCTTCCCCAGCACAGTCGTCAGAGAGTAGTAAGTAGACGAAACAAGTCGAAGTGGCATTCGCCTCCGATCCTCGGGCGCGTGCGAATAGGGAGGATGTAGTTGCGTAATATTTTACACACTCATCGCCATGTTCAGAACCAAACGCAAATTCTTCGAGATAACCACCATCCGTCGTCTGGCTCGCCGTGGCGGTGTCTGACGTATCTCCGGTTTGATTTACGAGGTGTGCTGAAGGTGTTCCTGAAAAATGAGATCTGTGATGCTGTCACCTACACTTAACACGCCAAGCGTAAGCGGCCATGGATGTCATCTACGTTTTTGAAGTGACAGAGACGCACAGGCGTGTGCGTGAGCGTGCTGTCACAACTAAATATGTATGCCCCTGAGAGGTCTCTTCGTCAACGCGACTTTCTGTTTTTGGAACCACGGAGCCGGAATTATACACAACACGAGCCAATTCGAGCAATCAGCCGGCAATTCAACAACTTTTTTTATATCTTCGACTTCAATGTATCAACTGACGTGTTTCGTCATCGGTTACTTGGCCTTTTCCGTACCGTTGACCGTAACTATTTAGTTTAAGTTTTATTCATTTAGACAGTATTTGTCAGTTGAATTTTTCAATAAACAATAAAAACAATAAAAAAACAATAACGTTGTACGATGTACATCGATTTTGCGAACAAAATAACATCCATTGATGTTATATTGTATCTTCTTTTTGCTATTACATCATTATTTCATACATCAGCTTGAATTACATTTTTTTTTGCTGTTTTGGTGATTTCTAGCATCACTGCCGCTGCTCGATTAGCTCTGGCTTTGACGGTTCGTTTGGCTCAAAACCAGCCAGTACACTCCTCTCTTATACTAGACCCTCTCTAGTTTTCACTACACACTACGAAAAAGTCATGTAAATTTCAGTGCCCTTAGACCGACACATGCAAGCGGCTCTTTTGACATAAGAATCAGTTGAAAAGGACGAGAAAAACAATTCAATCAAACGCACTTTTTGTTGAGTTGCATATGTTTTAGTTTCAGGGCTCTTAGTTTTACATGCCATGTTTGTTTACGTTCCATGATTTACGTCAAAGCTGAATAACGTCTCGTGTAAAAATAATAATTCCTAAGTGTGTAGCTTTCACTTCTCAGAACCACATCAAATACAATTACGATACGTGCTTCTACAAGCACTTTCAAGTTAATTCACTTTTTAAAACGATATTTAATTAAATAATATTATTTGCATCGTAATAAACGTGAGCTGCGAATATTTTTTTAAGCTGAAACTGTTTTGTTTACCACCGCATTACGAAGGTGTTTTATCGATTTCGCAACCACGACCTAAGTTGCTCAGACGCTCCTAGTCGGGAAAGCTTGCATAACAAAACCTTCTGGTCGATTTTGTCGAATGCGGCTTTCAGATCAGTATATTTGACGTCGACTTGTGCCTTATCTTCCATCGATGCATGTACTGGTGAAATACAAAAGGTTAGTAGCTACCGATCTACTTAGAGATGAACTAGCCTAAGGCTAAAAATCTCTTAAATAAAGAATTTAAAAAAAAAAAAAAGCTACCGATCTACCGGGAATAAATCCATGTTGGTCAGTTGAAATGTAGTTCTTCGAGCGATTCAGGACAAATTTGCTCAAGATGATCTCAAACAGTTTGGACGCTGCCAAAAGACTGGTGATAGCTCGATAGTTCTTAATATCTCGTTTATTGCCAGCTTTGAAAACAGGAAACATATACGACTGCTTCCACAATGTTGGGAATTTTTCTTGCTCAAAGGATGCATTAAATATGGCTGCTAAAGGTTCTGCTAAGGCAGCGGAGCAACGGCAGAACACCACTGGCGGAATTCCATCTGGACCAGGAGAGAGTGAGGTTTTCAGTATCCTTGCTGCTGAAAGTACCATATCCCGAGTTACTTCGAATGTGCTCAGTTCCACTAAGTCACTAGGTGTATCAGAGGCAGCAGATTGAGCTTCATCGTCACTTGTCACATTTTTATCGAAGACAGATGCAAAGTGCTTAGCAAACATCTCACACGGTTCGCTAAGAGAAGTGAACTCTTTCCCATCGAGTAGCATGTTGGACGGTATACTCGCATCTTTCCTTTTGCTGTTGACAAAGCTTCAAAAATTTCGGGGGTTACGCCACAAATTCCACTGGACTATGAAGACGTGTGATTTGTACGATGGTAAATATCTACATACTTACCTTTTCAGGTGTACATTACGTGAAATTTTATTGCAATGTAGTGCATGATGAACACTAGACTGATGCAAAATTTGACTTTTTCGCTCCACAGTGCTT